GGTTCTGATGACGTCAGCAGTGACGTTGGTAAGGAAACCCGTCGACTGTTAAGAGAAACTTTTCTGAAACGCGTGAGCTGGTGTGCTCTGACGACACGGCGACATCAAACTCGTGGCTAGTAAAATGCAAACGTCATTGTTTGGTCCCCTTTACCATTTGCAATTTCAGCTACGGGCCCAAAATCATAAATATCATTTCATATTTAAGAATTTCTCTTCCTTGTTTTGTGCTCAAACACCCTAACTATACGTCAAACGAAGATCATCGATCAACAGTGGTCAATTTATAAATTTTATCTTTTGAAATTGTAATTCAAAATGACTTATAATGGTACTTTCAAGTGTTCAGAACACTATATATTTGTCTCAAGGACACCAGAGTGATTTTTTAAAATGTTGTCCTATTTTTTACAGTAGTATGCGTCCTTTCGAAAGCTTTCAGCGCTGATTCTGGATCAGCAGGTATAAATACTAGAAAATTTCAATAAATTTTTTATTCAATTATTTAAATAGTTTAAATGGGATTCAGGGAGTGCGCAGCCACTGCTTAATCAGAAACTAGATCCGCAACGATCTTGCATCTCAAGGTTGGACGTAACCCAAGGTCTGTAGCTGTTCTTCGGTTACTTTGGCTGAAGAGTTCCGTTTATATGCAACGGTTGGGTATGTTCTAGGTGCATTTTGAACACTGTTGGTCCACGGTTGAAAGACCTGGAAAACGAGCCTCGTTCCTTTATGCCTCACGTTGGTTGCACGGTTTTTATGCTTCTTACGACATTGCTTTGCATATAGGTCATATTACGGAAACAACAGAATATCATGCCGTTCAGAACCATACTTGGCTCGTTGCCAGGGTACCTAGATGCACAGCAATCCCGCACTAAACCTGAAAACCATGTTGTTGTGTTCAAATATTGAACGAGCACTGTGATGAGTTCAAATAGCATACATTTCTAATAATTTTGTCGTAATGACCAAAGTTGCTACATTGAAACGTCTGCTGTCCCAGCGAAAGATTTCAGTATCGATGCACGTTCTTCACCTAGAACCGTCGTACAACCGTCATTGCGGTTGAAGAAGAAGACAGAATTGAAGTGTGTTTTTAAAATTAGACTTGGATTATTTTGTGCAGCATCTGCCACGAACAGTCGACTCGACTTCGACCATCATTCTGCATGTAGCAATGTTGTCTTGATCTGGGGCATTCGATGCAAAAGAATTTTACTCAGAACGAGGACCCGTGCACCCAGACATGAGCACACCGCAGAACCAAAGGTCGTGCACGACAAATGCTATCCTCGGTGTGAAAACGGTGATAACTTTTTCGTGACGAAAGTTTCTACGGCAACGTCTTTATATCATTTTTATCCGGCTTCAGTCGTTCCCGTGATGTGGATAATTTATTTGTTTTGCTCTCCTTTGCTGGATATCGTCGATCCATCATCGTCGATCTGCTTAGCTCGCAATAAGCTTCTCTGGTTTAAGACGGCGAAGGCAGGCTTAAAGAATTGCAACAGAAACATCAAAACGAAAGGATGGACACTGAAAGGAGAAGATGATATCTTATGCATCTTTCTGTGTGTTGCTGTCAGTTATTCCTTAGCCAACTTTATCAAAACTTGGCGTATGCATGCTTTGGGGCGTGTATACATGTATGTATCGATTGGTAACCAAGAACAGCACCTGTTTTGTCACATTGCTCTTAATGATCTGAACGAAGTGAGACCAAGTGATGTTGAAAAGGTAACTGGACTTCTGCTTCGAAAAGGTCCTTCTAAAACCTGCTGCAACACCATTTGTTCCACCAGACGGAAGCGGGGTTGACGACCAATTCTATTCGACAATGTAAATAAGCGCGGATCCTCTCTCTAATAAATGGAGCGTATTATCATCTCCAGTAAGAGATGGAGTGCCAATGACGACGCGAAGTGGTTTCGAGAACTGGCTAAAACAATAGTGCCACTTAGAATTAACATTTCTCACTTTCTCCAGTGGGTTTCGATCAGGCGGTCGCTGAAATCCTCCAACTCAACTTTTCCTCGATAGTATCACCGGTGAGACTTACAGTAAGCTAATCTATCTGTCTTCAAATCTGCCTGTGAACAGACCATGGCTTATGACGATGAAAGCTTAACAATGACCAGACGAGTAGCATCCAGAATATGTGTTCCTCTGAAGTGTTTGCGGCGATACGAGACTCGATAAACTTTGGAACACGGCCACCGTAATATGTTCTCATGTTCTAATAAGCACTGTT